ATGAACTCCTCTGACATGTTTTAATACTAATACTGCAATTTGGGGGAAAAGAAAAAATATTTTAAAAAAACAAAAAAGTTATCTTTTAAAGTCTAAAAACTTTAAACCATTGTTTTAAAAGTCTTACATAGGCTGGGTGCCCCTGTAATCCCAGCTACTTAAAATAAAACATTGAATTAAGGAGGGAGGCTGAGGCAGGAGAATGGCTTGGGCCCAGGAGGTGGAAATTGCCTTGAGCCGAGATCACACCACTGCCCCCTAGCCTGGTAACAGAGACTCATCTGAAAACAAAACAAAAAAAGCCCGACACAGTTCACAGCTATCAGCCAACACACTAAGCAAGCATATGTGAGTGGGCAGAGGGAGCCTTCACATTGGAGTGGTTTCTATAACTCTGTTTACATTCAAAGGCACACAAGAGTGTAAGACTGTGCTGTTGCCCTGACAAGGTCCCATTCTTTACTATAAAGTGCAATCTTAGTTGTCCTTGAGTTAACTTGAATTGAGGTATTTCTTCTTTTGAAAATACAAACTTTTCTAGTTATTTAGCAGGAGAGGTGGTATTTTCCTGTCTTTTTTGGTGAGGGGTTCAGATGTTACATTACCCCTCATTTCTTCCTTCAGGAGAGGACGGCCTTAGCGCGCTGAAGACCAATTAAGTCACCAGCACTCAAAGACCCAGTCTTTCGAGCAGTATAGAATGCTCCATCTTGTTGCATCCTTGATAAAGCCTAAGAACGTCAAATAGAAAAGAGGTACAATTTTAAAAAGGGTTCTACCCTTTTAACAATCACCACTGATGAGAAGCCACACATGCAGACTCCTTTAGATAGCTCAGCTACAGCTACTTTGGCTGAGGTTTACACTGCCAACTTCTGGCCGCTTACTTAGGTCATCTCCTTTCAGGGATAGAATTAGATTGCTGGAGCAAAGGGGAGCTTGCTTTATCAAGTTACTTAAAAATTGGGCTTCCAAAAATGTCACCGTATTGTGACAGGCTTCTAACAGTATCATCCGTTACCTGTGCACTTGTGCCTTAAAAATAATGAAAGCACACTATTGCAAAAAGTTAGTTTATTAATCTATTCACATTCTACCCAATCTATAGAGTTATTATATACTGAAAGAAAATCGTAACCAGGCACGCATGTGCTGGATTGTATTGAAATGTCAACAAAGTCTAATGATTAAGCATCAAAGGCACTACTTTCATGATTATGGTAGAAAATTGTATTATTTTAAAATACTTCCACGGTGCCACAGAACATGCCTATTTTAAATGTTCATCCTTGTCAGCTGTGAGTAATTTTGCTGTGTACTTACCAAAAGTCACAAACCATAAATATTACCTTGTCCCATAAAAGTTATCATTTCCAGTAAAATCCCATGTACTTCCTTGAGCCGGTACTTGAGACACGCACACCTCATACTGTCTAAGTGCATGTCTCTCGGCTTAGGCACTAACGGTTTGTCTAACACACCCATGGGACTGACTGCACTGTGGTATACACAGTAGAAAATGACAGAAATTTGCAAACTGAGCAATAAAAAGAAGTCAAGAGTGGTAAGCGCATTATGTATGTCGACATCGTTAGAAATACAATGGCAAGAAATCATTTCTGTATGGTTATTTGCAAAGGCAAAGGTTCAAAATGTTCAAATTCATTAAGAATAAATTTAATTTGATTAAAACATTCTGAATTATGACCACAAAAGAGATAATATCTATAATTTTCAAAAAAACGTGAATCCTTATAAAAAGCATAAGACATACAGGAAATAGAATGCCGAAAGGTTAATAAGCTCTTCAGTATGTTAATTTTGAAGCTTTCCATTTTTCTAATCACTACTTCATATGACCTAGTCATAAATGTAGGCACTGGTGTTTGACTGAAAACCCACTTACTAACTTCATAGCCCTACCTTCAGATCCCATGCTCTTTCTCTGTCAAGAAGGTAATATGGCAAACTCAGGCCATGCCTGAATGCCAGGGCACGAAGACAGAAGTAGTATCTGGTATAAACGCTTAGAGAAATGTTGGTATTATAATTAATTAGCTCCAAGTACCACCTTTGCAACTCATTCCTGGGGAAGGAGAAACACAACAAAACCAACACAGGACCATGTTAGTTCACTGGGCTATCTTCAAAAACATTATTCTTATGTAAGAAATGTGGTAAAGCTCTCATGTGCTCTAGTTTATTAGAATTCATGAAATAACTCACACTGGACAGAACCTGATCTAGTGAAGAAATACAAGAAAGCATGCAACTTTCCCAATTCTCCTTGAAAACTCAGAAAACAACTTGTACCAGAAACGAAACAGGAATGTAAAAAATGTGTTAATAAACTTGATTTTCCCCTACGCTTTCAAAGACATATTCACGTTTAATATGGAGAAAAATGACATAATCTTAAGAAACATGGTAAAGCCTTCAGCTTTTTTATTTCTTTGAAAAGATGAAAGGATTCAATGGCAAATTCCTTATAAATAGAAATGTGGTAAGGTCTTCAGTTGTTCCAGTTCCACATGAAGATAAGAACTCATTTCTGAAATAAAATCTATGAATATATAGAATGTAGAAATGCCTTCATTTACATGATATTTGCTCCAAGACCCATGATAATACACAATGGAGACAGACCTTATAAATATAAGAAAGCACATTGGATTGGAACCCGGGTAGATTACCAAATACAGAAAAGTTTACAGTTTTCAGAATTTCTTCAACATTGATGTGAAAACTTTCCCTAGAGGGAAATCCTACTAATGTTCATAAATTGAAAAGCCTGATGCAAATTCTTTCTTGTATAATCTTCAAAAAGATACATAAGTAAATGTTATCCTACTTCTGTTTCTCAGTGATTCTTCATTTGAAAGGGTCTCTATATTACTTCCGCTTCTTTTGCAAGAAAACATCGAGATTACAATTTTGTAGATACTTTTTAAACAATACTATATGCATTTAATAGGCAGTTGTTTTCGTTGTCAGTTAACAAAACTTTTCTCTAGTTATTTAAAAATATCACACTGAGCTACTAGAATGGCTCCAAATTCTGTTTTGAAACACATGCAGGTGGGTTCCTACGCTAATGTCCAAACAGGGCATGGCTGCTTGCAATCCATTCTGAATCCAGCACCCCAAGTTTGGGATGAGGAGAAAGACGATGGCCTCCTCTGTACTTGCGCAGCTGACTCGGGGCTCATTCTTGAGCGTTCCATTGCACAACTCAGACTTCATGCTCACTCCCAAGACACCACAATAGTGATCAGATGACAGAAATGATGAATGCCACTTATTAGCTGTCACTATTACGGGACAGGAATACTCTTTACACCTCCAATGGTAGAAAGATCAGAGAGAGACATCTTGCCTAAAATAAGCTCATTTTATGAGATGCCTTCTAGTAGGGTGCCGGCCTTACGCACTGTTTCTTCTGAGTTGAGTTAGAAATGAAACCCCAAGGTGTCAGTATCTGTCACCCCTGGCCACAACAGAATGTGGGGATAAGTTGAATGCACTGAGAGAGGAACAGGCTGGAAGCAGCCCTCTGCTGCATGATTATTCACCTGTCCTGGTCAAAGGTTTTGTTTTTGTTTTCTTTGAGACAGGGTCACACCGGCTAAAGTGCAGTGGCATGATCCTAGCTCACAGCAGACTCAACCTCCCAGGCTCAAGTAACCCATGCACCTAAGCCTTTCAAGGCTTGGAACTACAGCTTATGCCATTCAGCTGGGCGATTTTTAAAAATTCTTTTTGTAGAGACAGGTTCTCACTTTTTGCCTAGGCTGGTGTTTAACTCCTGTGATCAAGTGGTTAGTTACTCCCACCTTGGCCTCCCAAAGTGCCGGTATTACAGACATGAGCCACTGTATCCAGCACTTGGACAAATGTTTAAATAAATACAAAATGAGAGTAATCTTACCACTCTCATAGTAATCACTGTAAAGACTTAATTGTATGAAATCAATACCTCAACAGCACATTTCGTTTCTTGCTTTTAAAGTTTCAATGTTTTATCCACTGGCTAAGTCAACAAATGCTTGAAGTTCTCCGGTATGGAAAGCAGTTAGGATATAAGCAGATACGTGGTTTTCTCATTGGTTTCACTGAAAATCCAGCGGAAACCACTTCCAATATTAATTTCCTATTCATATAACCACAAGGCTATGATAGGAATGTCAATCAGATATGTGAATAATCAGCTGACCAGGACTTAATTTACTATAGGAATATATGCACTTCATAACCTCTTTTCTGTATTTCCATAAACATTTTAACTGTGTAAAATATGGTATTTCATAGAATGATCATGTTTATTAATAGTAGTTATTGAGGAAAACAATTATCCCTACAGGATATGTATCTCCTTAGTTTTTGGTGTTTTTCAAATGGCTGAATAGCATACCCTTTACAAGCACAGCCAATTTTCAGACTAGAAGCTGCTCAGTTTAACTTACATGTATCTGTGTGTGTGTATATGTGTATATATATATAAGTTGTTTACCAATAATGTTTTTAAATTTTATTTCAATTGTTTTTGAGAAACTGGTGGCTTTGGTTACCTGGATAATTTCTTTAGGAGTGACATCAGAGCTTCTGGTTCACCTACCACTTGAGCAGTGTACCCAATATGTAATTTTTTATCCATCACCGCCCTTCCAACCTTCCCTCCTTCTAGTCCCCAAAGGCCACTGTATCATTTTATGACTTTGGATTCTCATGGAGAGCACATGATATTTGGTTTTCCATTCCTGAGTCACTTCACTTAGAATAACGACCTCCAGCTCCATCCAGGTTGCTGTAAAGGCCATTATTTCATTCTGTTTTATGGCTCAGCAGTATTCCATGGTATATATATTCCACATTTTCTTTACCCATTAATTGATGGGCATTGAGGCTTGTTCCACATTTTTACAATTGCAAACTGTGCTGCTATCAACATGCAGGTGCATTTGTCTTTCTCATATGACTCCTTTTCCTTTGGGTAGATACCCAGTGTGAGACTGTTGGATTGAATGGCAGTACTGTTTTCCATAGTGGTTGTACTAGTTTACATTCCCATCAGCAGTGTAAGTGATCAAAAAAAACCTCTTGCCACTGCCTGAGGATCTTCATCTTCATATGCTTTATATGCTTCTATGTCATCAAGAGGTGTTCCTTCAGATTTTCCTAAGTGTCACCCACAAAGCCATTCTTGCTGTCTAGTGGACACTGTGAGAGCCTGTGCTGGAAATGCCTCCCTGGCTCACCCTACCAACCAGCTCCAAGACCCTTCCCTTTACAGCAGTCATGAGGCCAGACTGAAAGAATGAAGCTCCTGTTTCAGTGTCATGTTGCCGTCCATGAGCAACCCCATGATTCAGCAAGATTTCTTGCATTCTCATAGATAACTTGGGGCCCCCCAAGTGTTGCTGTGGTTGCATTAATGACCCAGGAACCTCCTGAGTGTGGTGAGCATTAGGTGATGCCCCAGCAATGTTTCTCAGACTGCCTGAGGGGAACACTGGAACTTCTAATTCATCAGCCCAGTGATGCAACACTCCTAATGGGGAGAGGACAGGGGCACAGGGAACTGTGGCTATTCTGTATCTCAAGGTTTCTATAAAACGGATCTTCAGAGAAAAGCGGGAGAACACCAGCAAATGCAAATACACAATGTATGGCTCAGGGTGAAGCTATACTTCACAATGCAGAGGCCCCAGACCTGTCAATGGGCAAACAATTATTTCAAAGGCCAGATATGCGCTCCTCACAAAGAGACTAGAACTTGCAGACAGCTTGTAAAAGCCATAAGGAAACTGACTTCACTATTATATTTCTCATTGTACACTGTTAAGATATTTGCCAAAAACATTCACCAGAAAAATACTTTTTTCATTTATGAGATTAGTACAACAGTATTTTACCAAGACCTACCAATGAATAGTGAAAAATATGAACTGTTCTTCTGAAGCTGGGGAGAAAGAGTATGTGGTATTTATGCCCATTCTTATTATCTGCATAATGTAACCTTTAAAAGTATTTCTCAAAGTGTTTAAGTTTATGGGAGCAAATAAAGTATTCAAAAATGGTTAGAAAGTTCACAAAAACTGTACAAACTCACATATTGTCAACTGTCATTTTCTCAAAGAGCTTGCATAAGTCCTTATTGCACACAGCCACATTGCTCCCAACCTTGATGGCAAGAAGAGTGGCTCCGAAGATAATCCTCTTCCAGTTGGATGGACAAATGTTGATATCAGCACACTTTAGAAGTCTTTTTATGTATACCTGCAAAACAGAGCACTGGCCTTTGATTTAGCTCAGTTTAAGTGCTGTGATAACTCCTATGAAAAGCCAGAAAACTTCTGGTTTTGACCAGAAAGTAGATGCCTTTTATTCTTATGTTCTACAGAGACTTTGTTTCATCAGGTTAAGTAAGAGGCCATAACACAATCAGAGCCCAAATATTTCTGCTACCTACTCTGCCCAGCGGGGGTGGATTAACACATCCAAGGAACAATGAACTGAGGGCAGTAGCTCTCAATCACAACATACATGAGAACTGCCTAGGAATACACCCTGAAACTCAGCTTAGACATACAATGGCATGCATTCCTGCCCATGAACCAGATGGTCTTGTTACTGCTCTTCATTCCAAGCCCTCCACATGCCCTGGATGTGTGCGCACTGTGTGTGCATGTGTGCACTGAAGTGTGGGGGGAGAAATCAGAAATCCCACCTGCTGCCTTTAATAGCAATTGTTCTGTAATGAGAAATGCAAGGCAACATTTAAACCATAACGATGATTCAACTCAAAGGTGTGTATTTGCTTTCATAAGTTTCTCTTAAAGTTCTGAAATAATTTCAGAAACCTACTTTCATTTAAAATCAGGAACATACTACCCTGTTTACAAGATCAATTTCTTTTTTTTTTTTTTGGAAATAGAGTCCTGCTCTGTTGCCTAGGCTGAAGTACACTGGCTTGATCTCGGGTCACTGCACTCTGCCTCCTGAGTTCAGCAATTCTCCTGCCTCAGTCTCCCGAGTGGCTGGGACTATAGGGGCGTGCCACCATGCCTGGCTAATTTTTGTATTTTTGGTAGAGACAGGGTTTAACCACATTGGCCAGGCCACTATACAAGACCAATTTCTAAAGATGCTTTATAAGTAGAAAATATCTTACCAAACTTATGATTGCTAAGTCAGCATTTAACCTTTTGACACAAAACAGAATACGCATAAATCTGTAAATGGCTATGTGTGTAGGATCAAACCTAAAGTATTCTTCCGGAACCTGTCCTCGCTGAAAGAAGAAAGGACGCAATGTAAGTATCCATTGAAGAGAAAACCTGAAGTGCTCTTAAGACAGCAGTGTTCACATTTGTGCCCATGTATCATTTACAATAATTTTGATTGGTGAGATGTCTTTGAGTTTTTACAATATGAACAGTGGGATCTTAAAATACCATAATGATTTAATACTCATTAACATTCACCTAAATATCATATGAGCTAAAGTTCAGAAAATTTTTGTTCTTTCTTACTCTTTGCCCCACATCATTCTATCCAAATGTAAGCTACTCTTAGGCTTTAATGTCGTACCGATGGTATGTCATTCTCTGCAATAAACTTTGAGAAAATACAGTTTCCTGTAACCACGAGGTTCTAAGCCTATGCTGTTAAATACAATAGTCACTAGCCACATGTGGCTATTATGTACTTGAGGAAGTACATTTTTAAATTTTTATAACATGTAGGTTGATTTAAACTTAAATTATTTTTAACTCTCTTCATAAAAGTCACGCTTCTGTGTTAAAAGTATTTACATATACTCATATTGCTTGATGCTACTAATAACTGTCTTTTAAAAGATACATTTTCTGTTATTTCGATAGATTTACTCATACTAGTTCACTAAACAGAGCTGCAGATCAGTTCTTATTCTAATACATTCTTTTTACAACACCTAACAGGACTAAATGCAACATGAAATGGGGAGGATTTAAAGATGGCTTTGACTTCAGCATGAAACAAATACAAGTCTATGATAAAAATACAACCTCAATAAAAGTGCCACTTACATTAAATGGGAATATACATTCGTCAAAGATTTCCAAAGTTCTATTTCCATCTCTATAAAATAAGAATGTGCATTACTTCAAAAACTGTTAATATCTTAGTATAATACCTGTTTAGTATAATAACGCCTCCTATGTGCTTTGGTGTTTACTTCACCAAAGCAAACAGTTTTTACAAATTCTTCTCCTGGATCCTGCCCTGCAGAACCTTTCCCGACCTCTTCTTCCTCAGCACATCATATCCTGTACTGTGAACTCTTTTTCACAATAACCAGTCAGAGCTGCCTATAGGTATTGACCCTCCCTAACAGGCAATGGCAATAAACCAAACATATTTTCTGTCTTCTTAACCACACATTGAAACACAAGAATGTTTTACAAAGCAGTAGTGTTGGGCAACAAAGACTTTAGGACTTTAATAAATGTACATGTGATTCCGATTTCCTAGCTTCCTTTCTTTTTAGTCCTCTGTAATATACTTTCATGATGAATTTATTTATTTTCTGTTGCTCGAATTAAAAACTCATCTGCCCTTTTATTTTAAAAGAGGCTAGTCTTTGATTAACTTTAAATTTTGTAAAACTAATGCATTGTGCCTGTGTGATAAACCAGTGGTTCTCCAAATGTGCCCTGTGGAACTCTGGGGATCCCGAAGACCCTTTCTGAGAAGGCCTAAGAGGTCAACACTGTTTTGTTTTGTTTTTCTTTGTTTTATTTTGTTTGTTTGTTTTTGTTTTTCTAAGATGGAGTTTCACTCTTGTTGCCCAGGCTGGAGGTCAATGGTGGGATCTTGGCTCACTGCAACCTCCATCTCCCAGGTCCAGGCGATTCTCCTGCCTCAGCCTCCCAAGTAGCTGGGATTATGAGCGCCTACCACCACGCTCAGCTAACTTTTGTATTTTTAGTAGGAATGGGGTTTCACCATGCTGACAAGGCAGGTCGTGAACTCCTGACCTCAGGTGATCCATCTGCTTGGCCTCTCAAAGTGCTGGGATAACAGGCCTGAGCCACCGTGTCTGCTAGACACTGTTCTGATAATCATACTAATTCAACCTCAGAAAGTTGATACAAATTTTTTTTTAATTAAGAAAGTAATACAAAGACACTGACTACTTTTTCATAGACACTTGCCATAACTGTATAAAAGCAAAAGTGTATAAAGCTGCTGGTTTCTCAGCCTAAATCAAGGCAGTGGTACCAATTACACCGGTAGTAATTCTGTTCTTTATTGTCCCTTACAGTTAAAAAGCAGTCTAAAGTAATTAAGAATGTCTTTGTTGAGGTGGTAAAAATTAATGGTATTACTAAATCTTGACATGTCTCTTTAATATTCTGAATCTGTAGAAAGCTAAGAAGAAGCGCTATTGCTGACTGCTGTAGGGATGTGTTTAAAAAAAATTCATGATTTAATTGTGAGCAGAACATTCACTTTTTTCACAGAACACCATTTTTATTTAAAAGTATTACTGTGCTGGTGCAATGGTTCACACCTCTAAAATCCAAACCCTTTGGGATACCAAAGCTGGCAGATTGCTTGAGCTCCTTCAGAAGTTCGAGTAGCCTGGGAAGCATGGTGAAACTGTCTCTACCAAAAATACACAAAAATTAGCCAGACACGGTGCCACACCTCTGTGGTCCCAGCTACACAGGAGTCTGAGGTGAGAGAATTGCTTCAGCTGAGATCATGCCAATGTACTACAGCCAAGTGACAGAGTGAGACTCAGTCTAAAAAAAAAGGACAACTACCATTCTCAAAAATAAATGAACGGAGGCTGTCACGTCAAGGAAAATAAACATGTGTTCCCAATGATAAATTAAGCTTTCCTGAGGACTCTGAAAATCTTGCTCCTTCTACTGCAGGCTTGACAGCTTTTCAACACTTAGAGTCTTTTAAAATAATATTGGTGGTTAAAAGTGATTTTTGACACAATAAAACATAAACCAATATATTCCAAATAACTAATGCATGATAATATAAATGCAAGTATGGGGGAAAAGATCCATTTACCATGCAAGACAGATTACTGATTACTGATCAAATGAATTTATTAATATGTATAATACCACTGCAACTAATTTTAAAAAGTAGCACTTGTCAAGTTTTCAGTTACTATTAAATACCCACAGCTGTCTCAAAGCTTTAAAATGCACCTTTTACCAACTACATACTTGCATGAGATTAGGTCATGTCATTGCTTCCCTTTTTTGACTACAGGCATGCACTATCATGCCCAGCTATTTTTTGTATTTTTAGTAGAGATGGGTTTCACCATGGTGGTCAGGCTGGTCTCAACCTTCTGACCTCAAATGAATCTGCCCGCCTTGGCCTCCCCAAAGTGCTGGGATTGCAGGTGCCTCCCACCACACCTGGCCATCTTATTGCTTCTTAAAGTAAATTGCAAAGAAAGACCTAGAGAATCCAGCTGTCTTCTATTAAGTGTGACATTTAAGGTCTTCAATAATATAAATACATGACACTTTTTACTCAACTTTTTGTTGTAGAAAATCTATTTTCTTATTAAAATTATTATGGTAACAATATTGTTCTCAAGGAGTATTTTCTGTTGTCACAAACTGGGTCATGGGTAACTACTGACATCTACTTGGTACAGGCCACCAGTGCTGCTAAACTTTCTGCAATGCACAGGACAGTCCTCGTGACAAAGCGTTATCTAGATCAATATATCAACAGTGGTAAGGCTGTGAAATCTAAACTAAAAATAGATTTTGAAAAAAATCTCAAGTTTATAGTTCTATGACAGTAAATATCAATATCATCAATATAAATACATACTCTTTGAGATTGCCAATCATCTAAGAATTAAAAGTGTTAAGGACCAAAGAAAACACAAATAATTTGCTTGGATATTTGAGTAGGCGCAGTGTAGCTCATGATGTCTAGAGCTGCGACCTAAAGAGCTTGATAGCTTGCAGAGTAATTAGCCAGAATAACAAGACAGTTTTTTAAAAAGCTCACCTTTTCTTGATAAGATAATATATCTCCAAGGCCACACTGTGGAAGGAAAAACATTCATAAAAATAGATGTTATCATTTGTTAGACCTGAAGACATTTTTTAAAAGGGTGTGGTGGAAACTCTCCTAGCGGCCCTGAAATTAAAACCTTCTAGTTCAGAACAGTACCATAAGGGCACTTGGTTGTTTTCATTTCTTGGGTTTTAGCAAAAATATGAGAACAAAAATGCAAGGCAATATAATACGCTGTTAGAAAACGTGTTTCCGTAGATGATAATATATAAATAATAACATATTTCCCTGTTATATGTTCTTCTACCCACAAAACATTTCATCACATGCAATTTATTTTATGTATTTATTTATTGTGTGACCCAGAGTCTTGCTCTGCTGCCCAGAGCAACCTTGGCTCACCACAACTTCCAACCACTGAATTCAAGCAATTCTCATGCTTCAGCCTCCCAAGTAGCTGATACTACAGTTTGGTGACACAATGCCCAGCTAATTTTTGTATTTTTAGTAGGGATGAGGTTTTGCCATGATGGTCAGGTTGATCTCACACTCCTGGCCTCAAGTGATCTGCCTGCCTCAGCCTCCCAAAGTGCTGGGATTACAGCTTGAGCCGCCAAACCATGACTCATGCAATTTATATCTATGTGTACATATGTTTAAATTTCAGCCACACAGTAGTGGTTTCTTTTTGAAGATGTTAGGCCCTGCATTTTAGTTTAGTTCACTGTCTCCTACCCACCCATTTTTTAAATTATTTCCCAAAAAATGCATAACAAAAGTGCTTTATAACAAAATTAATTGAAATTGCTTTTGCATAATTACTAGAAAATGTATTAGTAAACATAAGCTCACATGACATCAATGATAAGGTATAGCAATCCTAAAATAAGCAGTGCTAACAAGGTAGTGTAGCACGACACAGTGTAATATCAATAGCAGGTATCTTCAGTTAGTTTAACTGAAATATTTATGAACAGATACAACTCTTCAGATATGTAACTGTATTCCTAAGTTACCCACTGATGCTGTGTATCAGAAAACAAGAGGTTCTCTTACTTAAGCTATGTGCTTCCATTTGCCCTCAGCATCTACAATGAGGTTCAAAATAACTAAGGGAAGACAAATCTCAATTTTAGTAATAGCACTTTTTAAAAAGCCTGTAACATTAGCACTTCAGATGGATATGTCTATAGTGCTTCAAGTAGCTTTCATCTCTGAAATAATTTCAAAATCACAGAATTTGAAGTTATATGCTGGAAAGGACCAATGACCTTACGAGACATTTAATCCAACACTCATTTTACAGGTCAGGGAAACAAATCTTAAAACTGACTTGCCCAAGGTCACAACAAACAGGAGCAGTTTCTTGCCCTAAACTCAAATTAGGCAGTGGCTCTAAATTTTGCTGCACATTAAAATCACCTGAGAAGCTTTAATAACTGCCTCATTTTCAGTAATTAGCATTGGATATAACTTTGGCCATCAGGGTTGTTGGTAAAAGTTTCCCAGGTGATTTCAATGTGCAGCAAAATTTGAAATGATTGAGTTGGGGTGAAAATCAGAATCTTCTGGGATGCTTTCCTTCACATAAAGATGCTATGTTTTCCTAAAAGACTTCTCAGTGCCTGGAGATAGAGGGAAAGTGGAGATTGGTGGACACATGTATTTGCAGACATGTATTTTGAAGACAAACTTCTCAAAAGTGATCCCAATGAGTTCCACCTATCCCACTGATAACGGTGGACTACTAACTTGTGATGAACATTTTTCAAAATCTTTTCCTGAAGCCAATTTGCTTTATTAATTTGCTTAATAAACCTCTATTTCACCAAAAGTGAACACACCATAAAGGTATCAAATAAACAGTAACACTTTTTCTGAAATGGCTTATTTGCTAAGAGATTTTTCCCTCCACCATGATGTAGAAGATGAAAAGAGAAATTGATACTTAATATTTAGAATCTGGTATCAATACATAGTTGACTCCAATTTCCTAAACTGATTGAAGAGGAAAACCAAATGGCTGAAATAATTTTAATCTGTCCCTTGGCAGTATAGTTGTACTCACGATTTTAGTGTCATTTTAAAATGAGGGCAGCTGGCTGTGGTGTCTTCAAGAAAAATGGTCGAGCATGAGCTGAATTTCAAAGAATAATAATCCTCATATATCTAAAGAGGAAGGGAAGGATAAGGTAAACTTATCAAAGTGTTTTTTTTTTTTTCAGTTAAAATGTCAAATGACAAAGCACTAAGATATTTCTTACACTCCGTGAACTGCCTAAGTGTGATACCATGTGCACTATATAGAAAAACCATTGGAGGCTCTTAACTTCCAGAGATGATATTGAGATATGAGTTAGAAAATGCTGCTCTTAATATGCTACCTGTCATCAAACCTAACAAGGATTTTATGAATTTTCTTTACATATAATGACAAAAGTTT